CACAAAAGACCTCGAATAGCCAAAGCAATTCTGAGAAAGAAGAATAAAGCAGTGGGAATTATGCTCCCCAACTTCAAGCTGTACTACAAAGCCACAGTCATCAAGACAATTTGGTAGTGGCTGAAGAACAGCCCCATAGACCAATGGAACAGACTAGAGAGCCCTGATATAAACTCAACCATATATGGTCAATTAATATACAATAAAGGAGGCATGGACATACAATGGGGAAATGACAGCCTCTTCAACAGCTGGTGTTGGCAAAACTGGACAGCTACATGCAAGAGAATGAAACTGGATTATTTTTTAACCCTATACACTAAAGTAAACTCGAAATGGATTAAAGACTTGAATGTAAGTCATGAAACCATAAAACTCTTAGAAGATAACATAGGCAAACATCTCCTGAATATAAGCATGAGCAACTTCTTCCTCAACCCATCTTCTCGAGAAAGGGAAAGAAAAGCAAAAATGAACTCATGGGACTACATCAAACTGAAAAGTTTTTGTATGGCAAAGGACATTATCAACAAAACAAAAAGGCGTCCTGCAGTGTTGGAGAATGTATTTGTAAATGACATATCTGACAAGGGATTGACATCCAAAATATATATAGAACTATGCACCTCAACACCCAAAAAGCACACAACCTGATTAACAAATGGGCAGAGGATATGAAGAGACAGTTCTCCAAAGAAGAAATTCAGATGGCCAACAGACACATGAAAAGATGCTCCATATCACTCATCATCAGAGAAATGCAAATTAAAACCACAATGAGATATCACCTCACACCAGTGAGAATGGCCAGTATCGAAAAGACTAAGAACAACAAATGATGGTGAGGATGCAGAGAAAGGGGAACCCTCTTACACTGCTGGTGGGAATGTTAGCTAGTTCAACCATTGTGGAAATAAATATGGAGGTTCCTCAAAAAATTAAAAATAGAAATACAATTTGACCCTGGAACCCCACTCCTTGGAATATACCCAAAGAATACAACTTCTCAGATTCAAAAAGGCATATGCACCCCTATGTTTATCGCAGCACTTTTTACAATAGCCAAGATATGGAAGCAACCTAAGTGTCCTTCAGTAGATGAATGGATAAAGAATATGTGGTACATATATACAATGGAATACTATTCAGCCATAAGAAAGAAACATCCTACCATTTGCAACAAAATCGATGGAGCTGGAGGATATTATGCTCAGTGAAATAAGCCTGGTGGAGAAAGATAAATGCAAAATGATTTTCCTCTTTGTGGAGTATAACAATGAAGCAAAACTGAAGGAACAAAATGGCAGGAGACTCAGAGACTCCAAGAATGAACTAGTGGTTATCAAAGGGGAGGGGTGTGGGAGGGCCAGTAGCGAGGGAGGGAGAAGGGGACCGAGGGGCATTATGTTTAGGACACATGGTGAGGGGGATCATGGGGAGAAAAGTGTATCAAGGGACGTAGTGGATCTCTGGCAATTTGGTGCACTGATGGACAGTGACTGCACTGGGGTACGGGTGGGGACTTGATAATATGGGTAAATGTAGTAACTACTTTATTTTTTCATGTGAAAGCTTCATAAGAGTATATCAATCATACGTTAATAAAAATTTTTAAAAAAAGGAAAGATGTTAAACATCATAATTTTTAGAGAACTTCAAGTAAAAAAACCATTATAAGAATCCTCTTCACACCCACTAGGATGATTTTATGTACTGAATTGTGTCTCCTCAAAATTACATGTTGACGCCCTAACCCCCAACATGAATTTATTTGGAAACAGGGCCTTTTTGAACATCATTAAGGCTTAATGAAGTTATAAAGATGGTACCCTAATTGAATAGGACTGGTATCCTTATAAGAAGAGGAAGAGACTATAGAGATCTCACTGCATATAGACAGAGGAAAAGACATGTGAGGACACATTCAGAAGGTGGCTCTCTGTAAGCCAGGAAGCAAGGCCTCATCAGAATCCAATGCTACTGGTCCTTTGCCCTTTTACTGTGGCCTGCAGAACATTGAGAAGATAAATTTTTGTTATTTAAGTCACCCAGGCTGTTGTATTTGGTTATTGTAGCCAAAGCAGTCTAAATATAGATTTGTATTTAAAACAAAATGCAACTAACAGAAATTAAGAAATCAATCCCACTTACAATTGCATGAAAAAGAATAAAATACCTAGTAATAAATTCAAGCAAGGAAATGAAAGACCTATATGCTGAGAAATATGACATTGATGAAAGAAAGTAACTAAGACATAGATAAATGGAAAGCTATTCCATGTTCATGGATAGGAAGAATCATTACTTTTAAAATGGCCACACTGCCCAAAGCAATCTACAGATTCAGTGCAATCCCTATCAAAATCCCAATGGCATTTTCCCCTAAACTAGAGCAAATAATCCTAAACTTTTTATGGAACCACAAGAAACCCCAAATAGCCAAAGCAGGCTTGAGAAAGAAGAACAAAGCTGAATGTACCACAATCCCAGGTTTCAAACTATACTAAAAAGCTATACTAATCAAAACAGAATAGTAATGGCACAAGAGCAGATAACATGGATCAGTGGAACCGAATAGGGAGCCCAGAAATAAACCCATACCTTTGTATATATAGTCAATTAATATAAGACAAGGCAAGAATATACAATGGGGAAAAGACAGTCTCATAAGTAAATAGTGTTAAGTAAACTGGACAGCTACATGCAAAAGAATGAAACTGGATCACTGTCTCATGCCATACACAAAAATAAACTCAGGGTTAAAGACCTAAATATAAGACCTGAAACCAGGAAACTTCTAAAAGAAAACATAGGCAGTAAACTTTTAAACATCATTAGTAATTTTTTCTGGATACGTCTCCCCATGCAAGGGAAACAAAAGGAAAAATAAGTAAAACTATGTGAAACTAAAAATATTTCTGTACAGCAAAAGAAACCATCAACAAAACAAAAAAATCAACCTACCATATGGGAGCTATAATTGCAAATGATATATCTGATAAAGGGCTATATCCAAAATATATAAAGAACTCATACAACTCAGCACCAAACAAACAATTGCCATTAAAAAATGGATAGAGACATGGGGATGGTATTACATCATGGAGAATATAGTCAATGATTCTGTAACATTTTTCTGTTGATAGATAGTAACCACACTAGAGGAGGTGAGGATTTAATATTATGAGTAGCTGTTGAACCACTGTGTGTTGTACATTTGTTACCAATATAAGATTGTATATCAACAATACTACAATTAAAAAATAATCAACAGAGGACCTGAATAGATATTTTTCCAAAGAAAACATACAGATAGCTAACAAATACATTAAGAGATGCTCAATATCACAAATCGTCAGGAAAATGTAAATCAAAACCACAGTGAGGTATCACCTCACACCAGTCAGAATGGCCACTATCCAAAAGACAAGAAATAACAAGTGTTAGCAAGGATGTGGAGTAAAGGGAGCCTTCACACACTGGCTTGTAGGATTGCAAATTGGAGCAGACACAATGGAAACCATGGTTATTTGTCAGAAAACTAAAAATAGAAATACTATATAACCTAGGAATCCCACTTCTGGAAGTTTACCTGAAGAAAACAAAATCACTAATCCAAAAAGATATATGAACTCCTGATTTTGTCATAGCATTATTTACAATAGCAAAAATATGGAAACAACCCAAATGTCCATCTATAATGAATGGATAAAAATGATGTGGTACACATGTACAACAGAATATTACTCAGCCATAAAAAAAGAATGAAATCTTGTCATTGTGACAACATGGATGGACCTAGAGGCTAAGTGAAGTAAGTCAGACAGACAAAGACAAATACAATATGATTTCACTTATATATGGAATCTAAAAAACAAACAAAACTGAAATAGACTCTTATAGTCTTCTTGTTATATCCTCACATGGTAGAGAGCACAAAGAAAGGAATCAAGCTCTCTCATGTCTCTTACTAGGGTATTTAACCCACTTATGAGAGCTGTGTGCTTGTAACTTAATTACCTCCTGAAATTACCACTACACTGAAATTCATCATTTAGTCTATAACAACATCATTGTAATTTGATATGCTACAAAAGTGCTTTATGCTTCCATCCCATTTTTTCTAAAAACATATAAGCATAAAATTTCCCATCTTAATCATTTTTAAGTGAACAATTCAGTAGTGCTAAGAGTATTCACATTGTTGTGACACACTTTCAGAACTTTATTTTTTTAAACTAAAGCTGTTGCATTTTGTCACCATAAGATATCTACTCAAGAGTTGAGAGTTTATAAAGTTAATTTTTTTGCTTCACTGAGGACATCTTAAACTGAAAGGTCATTTTTGAAAAATTGCAAGTGCACAGAGGTGAATAGTACAATCACTAGTAAGTCAAGTTAGGTGTCATTTCCTTAATTTGCATCAGCAGTTTTATACACCAGTGCTTTAGTACTATCAGTACAAATGTAGACACACTGGAAAGGGCAAATAATATCTCAGTATTATTGGGAAAATAGTTTTGACCTTGCAGACTTTCTGAAAGGCTCTTGGGAACCCATCCAAGCATCCAGACTGCATGTTGAGAATCATTTCTTTATATCGTCTTCTGAAGGGAGATTGGAAAAACAAGATGAGTTAGTTCGAGTGAAAGAGGAGGAAAGCCTAAATTTGATTAATGGGTACAGATAAAAAGAAAAAGACAGATTTAAGAGACATTTCAGAACTAAAATTGATATGTAGAATTGCAGTAAGTTACTCAGTTTGTTGTAGTTTGAGAGTTTGTGACTATGTTGTTTATCAGCATCTGAATTTAACTGTGTGTTGAGCCCAAATAGCAATGTACATGTGGATCTTTATGTCATTAGTGTAGGAAAATTTTAGGGACTAGTGTCTTTTCCACTGCTCAGACTCTCGGTAATCAACAAATAGTGCAAATTGGTTTAAATACTTGATTCTTGATATTTCAGTTTGAAGGCTTTTTCCCCCCCTCCTCAAACAGCACTTCAAATGCTTCACCTTCAGAAGGTGCACCCCTAGTAGGAAGTTACGGATATATTCCTCATTCATTCCCAAAGTTCCAGCACCCTTCTCATGAGCTTTTGAAGGAAAATGGCTTTACCCAACATGTATACCACAAGTATCATCGGAGGTGCCTAAGTGGTAAGATGCTTGTCCTTTACATAATTATATTTAAAATTAAAGCATAATCCTAAAAAATTCAAATTGTAGCACTTAATAGGTTATTCTTTTATTTTGTAATATTTTTAATTACCTTAAGTAACTGTGTTTATATATATCTTTATTCATGTATTTGTAGGTTAGACACATTAGGAATTATAGTTTAGTGTATTTTTGATATTATTAACTAATGCTTAAATTTGAGCAGTGAGTCAGAAAATGGATTAATGTTCGTCCTTTATTTAGAAGATACCCAAATACATTTTTAATGTGTTTAAACTTGCCTTATGTTAAACATCTGCTGTTTTGACTTCAGTAAGTATCTTTAATGAAAAAAAATGTTCTATTAACTTTTTCCAGAGAGAACACGCTTGGGAATTGGCCAGTCCCAAGAAATGAATACCCTCTTCCGTTTCTGGTCCTTTTTCCTCAGAGATTACTTCAATAAAAAAATGTATGAGGAATTCAGACAACTTGCCTGGGAAGATGCAAAAGAAAATTATAGGTGAGCTATTTTCTCATGTTTTTACACTTGGAGGACATTCTTAAAAAACAATTTAAAAGCTGGTACTGTAGTAGCCCAGTTTTGAACTGCAAAAGTAACACAACATCCCTAGAGGGAGAGCTGTATTACTTGCCTGTCACTATATAGGAAATTATCCCAAAACTCACAGGATGAAAACAACAAACATTTATGAATTCACAGTTTGTAAGGGTCGAGATTCCAAGAACAGCTCAGTTAGGTGGTTCTGGCTCAGAAGTCTCACAAGATTGGAGTCATGGTGCTGAATGGGGCAGGATCCTCTTCAAGCTCATTAACATGGCTGTTGTCAGGAAGCTTCAGTTCCTGCCACATAGGCCTCCCATAGGACATTTTACGATATGATTTCATCCAGAGCAAGTGATCTAAGAAAGAGGGAGAATTTCCAAGATGGAACCTCAGTTTAGTGACATACCATCGCTTCTGCTGTAGTGTGTTGTTCACACAGTCCAGCTCTGGAACAGTGGAGGAAGGGACTATACAAGGTTGTGAATACCAGGAGGTTGGGACCATTTGGAACCATCTTAGGGGCTGACATAAAGGCAAATGAAATTTGAAAGAGAATTTTCTTCTTGCCCCCACTATTACAGACTTCCCTTGCATGTGCATATACATCTCCTAATTGATACATGCTCAGAGCCAAACCCATTGTAAAGATTCCTTGAGCCAAGAAAAAGTAAAGTCTCTCATGGTATGTCCTGACTCACCTGTCCAATCTCCTTCTTTCCTACTAGTTCTGTAGGTAACAGTGCTACTGAACTCCATGTTCTCTGAATGAATCAAGCTCTCTAGCGCTAGACATCTGTACATAATCTTATCTCTGCTTATTCATTTCTTCCTCCCTCTGCTTTGCTGACTCTTTTTGTCCAGGTAGGTCTTGCATCCTTGAGAAATATTAGGGTAGGTTTTGAGAGTGCCTATAGTACTGAGTTGAGACCAGACTAAGAGGGTAGTAAGAAGGAATATAAAGTGGGCTAATGCTAGCAACCTATTCCTGGGAAGAGGAGAAAGGAAGAAGAGAGAGAATAAAAATAATTTTCCACTCAGTATTTACCTAGATTTACTTTTCTTCAAGTTCTAAAAATGGATTTCTATTCTAAGTCTCAGATAAGAATATACTGTTGATCAGATATTGTGATCTTCAAGAGGAATACAAGATGCTGCAAATAAATTTTTAAAAGAAGTTTACATTTGTATTGACTTGTGTAAAAATAAATCTATTTTTTACCTAGATCAAAATAGTAAACTTGCTTCACAATTCATACATATATACAAATTTAAGAATTGTTTGCAAAACTTATGTATGCTTTTATGTACATGTTGTGAATGTTGTGTCGATTTGGCCACAAAGTAAAATATTTTTATTCTATTGGTCTTGGAGAAGTTTAAAAGCCATTGTAAAAATTAATCTCAGCATATTTTGCTGTTTATACAAACAATTTCCGTTTATTTCTAAGAACTTTCTGACAACTTTTCTGATCCTATTCCTACCCAAGTCTAGGTTAGGAGTTCCTCTTCTATTTTCCCGTACTCTGTGTATGCTTGTAGTAGTTTTTTTTTTTTTTTTGCTATCATTAATATACAATCACATAAGCAACATTGTAGTTACTAGATTCCACCATTATCAAGTCCCCACCACATACCCTATTACACTCACTGTCTATCAGCGTAGTAAGCTGCCATTGAGTCACTACTTGTATTCTCTGTGCTATACTGCCTTCCCCATGCCCCCCACCCACGTTATGTGTGCTAATTGTAATGCCTCTTATTCCCTTTCTCCCTTCCGGCCCACCCTCCCCAGTCCCTTTGCCTTTGGTAACTGTTAGTCCGTTCTTGGGTTCTGTGAGTCTGTACTGTTTTATTCCTTCAGTTTTTGCTTTGTTCTTATGCTCCACAGATGAGTGAAATCATTTGGTACTTGTTTTTCTCTGCATGGCTTATTTCACTGAGCATAATACCCTCTAGCTCCATCCATGTTGTTGCAAATGGTAGGATTTGTTTTCTTTTTGTGGCTAAATAATATTCCATTGTGTATATGTACCACACCTTCTTTATCCATTCATCTACTGATGGACATGTAGGTTGCTTCCAATTCTTGGCTACTGTAAATAGTGCTGCAATAAACATAGGGGTGCTCATGTCTTTTTTCAAACTGGGCTCCTGCATTCATAGGGTAAATTCCTAGGAGTGGAATTCCTGGGTCAAATGGTATTTCTATTTTGAGTTTTGTGAGGAATGTCTGTACTGCTTTCCACAATGATTGAAGTAGTTTACATTCCCACCAGCAGTGTAAGAGGGTTCCCCTTTCTCACATCCTCACCAGCATTTGTAGTTCCTAGACTTTCCTATGTTGGCCATCCTATCTGGTGTGAGGTGATATCTCATTGTCATTTAATTTGCATTTCCCTGATAATTAGCAACATGGAGCATCTTTTCATGTGCCTGTGTGCCATCTGAATTTCTTCTTTGGAGAAGTGTCTGTTCATATCCCCTGCCCATTTTTTAATAGGGTTATTTGTTTTTTGGGTGTTGAGGCATGTGAGTTCTTTATACTTTTTTTTTGTTAACCCCTTGTGAGATATGTCATTTACAAATATATTCCCCCATACTGTAGGATGCATTTTTGTTCTGCTGATGGTGTCCTCTGCAATACAGGAGCTTTTTAGCATGATGTATTCCCATTTATTTATTTTCTATTTTGTTCGCCCTGCCTGAAGAGATGTGTTCAGAAAAAAGTTGCTCATGTTTATATTCAAGAATTTTGCCTATGTTTGCTTTTAAGAGTTTTATAGTTTCATGACTTATATTCAGGTCTTTGATCCATTTGAGTTTACATTTGTGTGTGGGGTTAGACAGTAATCCAGTTTCATTCTCTTGCATGTAGCTGTCCAGTTTTGCCAACACCAGCTGTTGAAGAGGCTGTCATTTTCACATCGTTTATCATATTAATTGACCATATATGGTTGGGTTTATATCAGGGCTCTCTAGTCTGTTCCATTGGTCTATGGGTCTGTTCTTGTGCCACTACCAAACTGTCTTGATTACTGTGGCTTTGTAGTAGAGCTTGAAGATAGGGAGCATAATCCCCCCTGCTTTATTCTTCCTTCGCAGCATTGCTTTGGCTATTTGGGATCTTTTGTGGTTCCATATGAGTTTTAGAACTATTTGCTCTAGTTCATTGAAGAATGCTGTTGGTATTTTGATAAGGATTGCATTGAAACTGTAGATTACTTTAGGAAAAATGGCCATTTTGACAATATTAGTTCTTCCTGTCCATGAGCACTGGAGGTGTTTCCATTTATTGGTATCTTCTTTAATTTCTCTCATGAGTATATTGTAGTTTTCAGAGTATAGGTCTTACACTTCCTTGGTTAGGTTTATTGCTAGGTATTTTATTCTTTTTGATGCAGTTATGAGTGGAATTGTTTTCCTGATTTCTCTTTCTGCTAGTTCATCATTAGTGCATAGGAAAGTGACAAATTTCTGCATATTAATTTTGTATCCTGCAACTTTGCTGAATTCATTTATTAGGTCTAGTAGTTTTGGAGTGGGTTCTTTAGGGTTTTTAATGTATAATATCATGTCATCTGCAAACAATGACAGTTTAACTTCTTCTTTACCAATCTGGATGCTTTTAATTTCTTTGTGTTGTCTGATTGCGATGGTGAGACCTCCAGAAGTATGTTGAATAAAAGTGGGGAGAGTGGTCATCCTTGTCTTGTTCATGATCTTAAAGGAAAAGCTTTCAGCTTCATGCTGTTAATTATGATGGTGGCTTTGGGTTCATCATATATGGCCTTTATTATATTGAGGTACTTGCCCTCTATACCCATTTTGTTGAGTTTTTATCATGACTTGGTGTTGAATTTTGTTAAATTCTTTTTCAGCCTCTGTCGAGATGATCATGTGGTTTTTGTCCTCCTTTTTGTTGATGTAGTGGATGATGTTGATGGATTTTCTAATGTAGTACCATCCTTGCATCCCTGAGATGAATCCCACTTGATTATGGTGTATGGTCCTTTTGATGTATTTTTGAATTCGATTTGCTAATATCTTGTTGCATATTTTTGCATCTATATTCATTAGTGATACTGGTCTGTAATTTTCTTTTTTTGTGGTGTCTTTGCCTGGTTTTATTATTATAGTGATGCTTGCTTCATAGATGAGTTTGGAGGTATTCCTTCCTCTTCTATTTTTTGGAAAACTTTAAGGTGAAAGGGTTTTATGTCTTCCCTAAATGTCTGATAAAATTCAGCGGTGAATTCATCTGGCCTGGGTATTTTTTTCTTGGGTAGTTTTTTCATTACCAATTCAATTTTGTTGCTGGTAATTGGTCTGTTTAGATTTTTCTCTTTCTTCCTTGGTCAGTCTTGGGAGGTTGTATTTTTCTAGAAAGTTGTACATTTTTTCTAGGTTATCCTTTTTTTTTTAGCATATAATTTTTCATAGTATTCTCTAATAATTCTTTTTATTTCTGTGGTGTCCGTAGTGGTTTTTCCTTTCTCATTTCTGATTCTGTTTATGTGTGTAGATTCTTTTTCTTGATAAGTCTGGCTAGGGATTTATCTATTTTCTTTATATTCTCGAAGAGCAAACTCCTGCTTTCATTGATTCTTTGTATTGTTTTATTCTTCTTGATTTTATTTATTTATGTTCTTATCTTTATTATGTCCCTCCTTCTACCGACTTTGGGCCTCATTTCTTCTTTTTTTCTAGTTTTGTTAATTGTGAGTTTAGACTGCTTATATGGGACTGTTCTTCTTTCCTGAGGTAGCCTTGTATTGCAGTATACTTCCCTCTTAGCACGGCCTTTGCTGTGTCCCACAGATTATGTAGTGTTGAATTATTGTTGTCATTTGTCTCCATATATTGCTTAATCTCTGTTTTTATTTGGTCATTGTTCAATTGGTTATTTAGGAGGATGTTATTATGACTGTGTTTTTTGGCTTTTTCATTTTCTTTGTGTAATTTATTTCTTGTTTTATACCTTTGTGATCTGAGAAGCTGTTGGTACAATTTCCATCTTTTTGAATTTATTGAGGCTCTTTTTGTGGCATAGTAGATGATCTATTCTTGAAAATATTCCATGTGCACTTGAGAAGAATGTGTATCCTGTTGCTTTTGGATGGAGTGTTCTGTAGATGTTTGTTAGGTCCATCTGTTTTAATAGGTTGTTCCATGTGTCTGTCTCCTTTCTTATTTTCTGTCTGGTTAATCTGTCCTTTGGAGTGAGTGGTGTGTTGAAGTCTCCTAAAATGAAGGCATTGCATTCTGTTTCCCCCTTTAATTCTGTTAGTATTTGTTTCACATATGTAAGTAATCCTGTATCGGTTGCATAGATATTTACAATAGTTATATCCTCTTGTTGGACTGACCCCTTTATCATTATGTAATATCCTTCTTTGTCTCTTGTGACTTTCTTTTTTATGAGGTCTATTTTGTCTGATACACTTACTGCAACTCCTGCTTTTTTCTCCCTGTTAGTTGCATGAAATATCTTTTTGCATCCCTTTACTTTCAGTCTGTGTATGTCTTTAGACTTGAAATGAGTCTCTTGTAGGCAGCATATAGACAGATCTTGATTTTTTATCCATTCAGTGACACTATACCTTTTGAATGGTGCATTCAGACCATTTACATTCAGAGTGGTTATCGATAGGTATGTACTTACTGCCATTTCAGGCTTTAGATTCATGGTTACCAAAGGTTCAAGGCTAATTCCCTTACCATCTAACAGTCTAATTTAACTCGCTTAGTATGCTATTACAAACCCTACCTAAAGGTTGTGGGGGTTTTTTCCTCCTTTTTCTTCCTCCTCCATTCTTTGTATATTAGGTATCATATTCTATACTCTTTGTCTATCCCTTGATTGACTTTGGGGGTAGTTGATTTGCTTTTGAATGTGCTTAGTAATTAATTGTCCTTTCTTTCCTGTGGTTTTATTTCCCTTTGTGACAGCTATTTAGCCTTAGGAATACTTCCGCATATAGCAGTCTCTCCAAAGTGTACTGTAGAGGTGGTTTGTGGGAGGTAAATTCTTTCAGCTTTTGCTTATTTGAAAATTGTTTAATCCCTCCTTCAAATTTAAATGATAATCTCGCCAGGCAGAGTATTCTTGGTAGAGGCCCTTCTGCTTCATTGCATTTAATATATATCATGACAGTCTCTCTAGCATGTAAGGTTTCTGTTGAGAAGTCTGGTGATAGCCTGATGGGTTTTCCTTTGTAGGTGATCTTTTTTCTCTAGCTGCTTTTAAATGTCTGTCCTTTTCCTTGACCTTTGCCATTTTAATTATTATATGTCTTGGTGTTGTCCTCCTTGCATCCCTTGTGTTGGGAGATCTGGACACCTTCACGGCCTGAGAGATTATCTCCTTCCCGAGATTGTGGAAGTTTTCAGTAATTACCTCCTCAAAGACCCTTTCTATCCTTTTTTCTCTCTCTACTTCTTCTCTTACCCCTATAATGCAAATATTGTTCCGTTTGGATTTGTCCCACAGTTCTCTCAATATTGTTCCATTTTCAGATATCCATTTTTCTCTCTGTGCCTCAGCTTCTTTGTATTCCTCTTATTTAATTTCTGTTCCTCTTGCCATCTCTTCTACTAAATCTAATCTGCTTTTAAATCCCTACATTGTATGTTTCATTTCATATATGGAATTTCTTAATGATTGAATCTCCATCCTAAATTCATCCTTGAATTCTTTGATATTTTCCTTTACCTCCATGAGCATGTTTATGATTTTTATTTTGAACTCTCTTTCAGGAAGATTGGTGAGTTCAGTTTCATTTGGCCCTTTTTCTGGTGTTTGTGAGATTTTTGTTTGAACAAGGTTTCTTTGATGTTTCATATTTATATGTGAGACCCTCTAGTGCCAAGAAGCTCTAATCTCTGGAGTGATGTCGGGGGTCACAGGGAGCAGTGCTGGTGCCTGGGGGGAGGAAAGAGCTGTTTCCTGCCTCCCAGCTGCAGTGCTTTTCTCCACTGTCAGTGCCAGTGGGCTGAGCACCCTCTTGTAAGCCTCTGTACTTTGTGTCTGTAGCTGCTGTAGGCAGGGCCCCCCTCTGGCTGGCCTGACAAGGACTGCCATGTCAGGGCAAGGACTGCTGGTTGTGAGCCATTGCCAGCAGTCCATGAGGAAGTTACAGCAGGCTGTGTATCACAGTGCGGGGCCTCGGAGCTAAGTGGCCAACCAGGGGGATTGAGCTCCTGAAGCCTGAAAGCTCCCAACCTGCTGGGCAGAGCATGCCCAGGTAACCTTGTCCACCTATCCCTTGTCCTGTGCAGTAAGCTCTGTGCAAACCCTGCCCCTTCAGCACCCCCTCTTGCTGCTTAGGAAGCCTCTCAGACCACCCACCTGTCCTTTGTCTGAGAGCAGCCAGTTGTGGATCCCTGTCATCCACAAACAGCTGAAATCTCAGTCTCTCCATGTATTCTGCCTATCTTATCTTTCCAACCCCAGTAATCTCCAGAGCACTCTGCAATGTAGATTTGTGCTCCCAAAGCAGATCTCCAGGGCTGTGTGTTCAGCAGTCCTAGGCTTCCATCCCCTTCCTGCTCTGTTTCTCTTCCTCCCACCAGTTAGGTCAGGTGGGGGAAGGGCTTGGGTCCCACTGGATCAAGGCTTTGGTACGTTACCATTTAGTGATATCTGCTCTGTTCTCCAGGTGTATGCAGTCTGGCGTAGCCTTCTCTCCTGTTGCTCTTTTATGATTAGTTGTATTAACTATATTTTCATATTATATATAGTTTTGGGAGGAGTTCTCTGTCTTACCTTTCATGCTGCCATCTTGAATCCTCTAGTAGCTTTTCAACAGTGTTTTATAACTTTGGGTCTATTTCTACAGTGTTCATGGCTAGACTGTATTAGCTCTTCCTTAGGAAATATACAACAGTGGTGAAGTGCCTGAAGGCTTTGAAGTCAGACTTTGATTTGAGATGCAGCCCATTTACTGTGACCTTGGCAAGTTGTAATTCCAGTAGCTTTATGTTCTTTATCTGAAAGTGGAGGAAATTATTATAGATTCCCTCAGTGGGTTATTGTAAATATTGAACAAAACTGAACATGTGGAAGACTCAACATAGTACCTGATATATAGTAAGTGCTCAATAAATGGTTATTTTTATTAGGAGTGTCAGTACTAAGTATATCCATTGACTAAAAGTAGCAGCAAGATGGCTTCAAGAAGGAAAAAGAGAATAATACTTAGTATATATCTTCAGTATGCCAGCTCTTGTCTAAGTGCTTTTTCAAATATTATCTATTTTGAAAAGTAGGATATTATTATTCCCATTCTCAGGGATGTAATCATAAGCCTACAGTTTAAATTTAGTTCCTTCTGTTTATGTTTTCTGCTCATCTAAGGTATCTCACAGTGAGAGGTAAATGAATAAATGACCATTGAGAGGCTAGTCATTTGCTCCTACTCTTCACTTCAGCAGTTGTGTTGCATTTTGCTCATAGTTATGATCTTTGTAATTCATTTGTTAAAAAAATGAGTAAAATTCCACATGTTGCAGTGGTCTGTTGGTCTTTACCAGTGATCTGAGAATTCCGATGTTCCTCTAAAATGTCATTTTGTTGATAAAAAACAGAAGTTCTCAATTCTGCTTTCCAGAAAGAAATAGGCTTAGGCGTTACCCTACTCTCCCTGCCAGAGATTTTGATTTCACTTATTTGGAGTGAAGCCTGGGTATCAGTGTTTTTTTTAAAAGCGTTTCACATAATTTTCATATGTAGCCAAGGTTGAGACCACTGATAACAGTATAATATGATCCCACATGAGTATTATCAGGACACATTTGCCATCTGGAGCTGTTGTTCCTTTAGTCCTCAGTTCCCTTAACCTTGATTCATACAAACTTAAAGAATAGCATCACTTACAGCTGCCAAAGCAATGAACACAGGTTAGTGTGTAATGATGTACTTGGTAACCCTATTTTTCTTGGCAACTTGTAAAGAACCCTATTCATTCTTCTGGATATACCATCACTGTCTGTCTTTTATTTTTTGTTTGGTATTACTTGTGTTGTGTTTGCTTGTATCAATGCTGCTAAATGAGATGTTTTCATTGTCATAGCAAAAATTTTATTATAAACCTTTTTTACTGCAGGTATGGATTAGAATGTCTGTTCAGGTTTTATAGTTATGGACTGGAAAAAAAATTCAGACAAGAAATTTTTAAGGATTTCCAAGAAGAAACCAAAAAGGACTGCGAATCTGGTAAAACAAAGCAAAATAATTATCTTACTCTATTACAAAATTGTAAACAGTCACTACATAAATAAGGAGGGAGTTCATAACTTTTTTCTTCAGGTCATACCATTTAAGACCTTCAGCCACTATTAAGGTTTTGAAGGATGAGGCATTATATACTAAGAGAGCCTTTCCTATGAGGTGTTAGAAAATAACCACTCCCAAGTGTTTCCTTTATGAAGTTATATTTTTTCGTTATTCCCTTGACAAACGTGACTACTCACTGATATTTCATTATGTGAGAATCCTATGTAACATCAGCAATATGCTGAGAAAGGCGGAATAGCACAGTAACAGTGTAGGCTCCGGGCTAGCTCCCTAGGTCTGAACCCCATTTCTACTTCTTAGTAGCTGTATGACCTTGAGTAAGTTATGTAACCCTGTTAGCCTCAGTGTATTCATCAGTAATATAAAAACAGAACTTATATTACAGTATTGTATATGGTTCGAATTAGTTTAATATGTAAAAAAAACTTAAAAAATGCCTGTTCCATATCAATTGCTCAGTACTTATTAACTGCTGCTACTCATTACAATGTCTTATTCTCAAGATCTAGATAAAGTATAAACTGTTTATTGCTGGTATGACCATATTCAGTATGAGTCATTTTTAAAAAATTCTGTATAATTTATCATGTATATTTTCTCTATTATTAGGTCAGCTGTATGGACTAGAAAAGTTTTGGGCTTACCTAAAATATTCTCAATCTAGGATGCAGTCTATTGACCCAAAACTTCAGGAATACCTCTGCAGCTTTAAAAGTTTAGAAGACTTCCATGTTGACGTAAGTTTAAGTCTTTCTTCTGTATTCTTTTTATTACCCTTGTATCTTGAACTGTCAGTGATTTTTTAAACTTTAATCATAAAATTCTTGTTTTTTAACTTTTTATTTTTAAATTTTAACTTTCTGGTTTTGAAATCAAACTTTTAGATAGGTGCTTTTAAACATAGTACAGAGAATACCCATATACTGGTTACCCAGATTCCCAAATGTTAACATCCTAACCATAGTGCAACTGCCAGTTCACTTTAATTTTTATATGACCCTATAATTAAATATTTTATAGATTTAGTATCTTTTATGTGGGTAGGTTACTAATTACTAGCATTTTGAAAAATTTTCACCTTTCATGTACTTTTATCCTATAGTTTTCATAACATGCTGATGTAACATGGATTTGGGTTCCCACATAATAAAATGAGGGATAGAATGTTCTGTTGTTCTGTGCATATGTAGAGACAGGAGAGTATGCTATTCTTTTTTCAACAACTTTTTAATTGAAGTATTGTTGATATACAATCTTATATTGGTTTCAAATATACAACACAGTGGTTCAACAGTTAGTCATAGTATTAAATCCTCATCCCCACTAATGTGGTTACTACCCTTAACATAGAAAGATGTTACAGAATCATTGACTATATTCTCCATGCTGTACTACTACTATCCCCATGGCCAACTTATATTATGATTGAGAATTTTTGTGCCCCTTTAACTCCCTCACCATCCCTATTGACCCACGCCAACTACTATCCCATGGTAATCACTAGTTACTTTTTAGTGTCTTTTAGTCTACTGCTGTTTTGCTCATTGTGTTTTACTTTGTTTATCTATTTCTACAGTGTTCATGGCTAGACTGTATTAGCTCTTCCTTAGGAAATATACAACAGTGGTGAAGTGCCTGAAGGCTTTGAAGTCAGACTTTGATTTGAGATGCAGCCCATTTACTGTGACCTTGGCAAGTTGTAATGCCAGTAGCTTTATGTTCTTTATCTGAAAGTGGAGGAAATTATTATAGATTCCCTCAGTGGGTTATTGTAAATATTGAACAAAACTGAACATGTGGAAGACTCAACATAGTACCTGATATATAGTAAGTGCTCAATAAATGGTTATTTTTATTAGGAGTGTCAGTACTAAGTATATCCATTGACTAAAAGTAGCAGCAAGATGGCTTCAAGAAGGAAAAAGAGAATAATACTTAGTATATATCTTCAGTATGCCAGCTCTTGTCTAAGTGCTTTTTCAAATATTATCTATTTTGAAAAGTAGGATATTATTATTCCCATTCTCAGGGATGTAATCATAAGCCTACAGTTTAAATTTAGTTCCTTCTGTTTATGTTTTCTGCTCATCTAAGGTATCTCACAGTGAGAGGTAAATGAATAAATGACCATTGAGAGGCTAGTCATTTGCTCCTACTCTTCACTTCAGCAGTTGTGTTGCATTTTGCTCATAGTTATGATCTTTGTAATTCATTTGTTAAAAAAATGAGTAAAATTCCACATGTTGCAGTGGTCTGTTGGTCTTTACCAGTGATCTGAGAATTCCGATGTTCCTCTAAAATGTCATTTTGTTGATAAAAAACAGAAGTTCTCAATTCTGCTTTCCAGAAAGAAATAGGCTTAGGCGTTACCCTACTCTCCCTGCCAGAGATTTTGATTTCACTTATTTGGAGTGAAGCCTGGGTATCAGTGTTTTTTTTAAAAGCGTTTCACATAATTTTCATATGTAGCCAAGGTTGAGACCACTGATAACAGTATAATATGATCCCACATGAGTATTATCAGGACACATTTGCCATCTGGAGCTGTTGTTCCTTTAGTCCTCAGTTCCCTTAACCTTGATTCATACAAACTTAAAGAATAGCATCACTTACAGCTGCCAAAGCAATGAACACAGGTTAGTGTGTAATGATGTACTTGGTAACCCTATTTTTCTTGGCAACTTGTAAAGAACCCTATTCATTCTTCTGGATATACCATCACTGTCTGTCTTTTATTTTTTGTTTGGTATTACTTGTGTTGTGTTTGCTTGTATCAATGCTGCTAAATGAGATGTTTTCATTGTCATAGCAAAAATTTTATTATAAACCTTTTTTACTGCAGGTATGGATTAGAATGTCTGTTCAGGTTTTATAGTTATGGACTGGAAAAAAAATTCAGACAAGAAATTTTTAAGGATTTCCAAGAAGAAACCAAAAAGGACTGCGAATCTGGTAAAACAAAGCAAAATAATTATCTTACTCTATTACAAAATTGTAAACAGTCACTACATAAATAAGGAGGGAGTTCATAACTTTTTTCTTCAGGTCATACCATTTAAGACCTTCAGCCACTATTAAGGTTTTGAAGGATGAGGCATTATATACTAAGAGAGCCTTTCCTATGAGGTGTTAGAAAATAACCACTCCCAAGTGTTTCCTTTATGAAGTTATATTTTTTCGTTATTCCCTTGACAAACGTGACTACTCACTGATATTTCATTATGTGAGAATCCTATGTAACATCAGCAATATGCTGAGAAAGGCGGAATAGCACAGTAACAGTGTAGGCTCCGGGCTAGCTCCCTAGGTCTGAACCCCATTTCTACTTCTTAGTAGCTGTATGACCTTGAGTAAGTTATGTAACCCTGTTAGCCTCAGTGTATTCATCAGTAATATAAAAACAGAACTTATATTACAGTATTGTATATGGTTCGAATTAGTTTAATATGTAAAAAAAACTTAAAAAATGCCTGTTCCATATCAATTGCTCAGTACTTATTAACTGCTGCTACTCATTACAATGTCTTATTCTCAAGATCTAGATAAAGTATAAACTGTTTATTGCTGGTATGACCATATTCAGTATGAGTCATTTTTAAAAAATTCTGTATAATTTATCATGTATATTTTCTCTATTATTAGGTCAGCTGTATGGACTAGAAAAGTTTTGGGCTTACCTAAAATATTCTCAATCTAGGATGCAGTCTATTGACCCAAAACTTCAGGAATACCTCTGCAGCTTTAAAAGTTTAGAAGACTTCCATGTTGACGTAAGTTTAAGTCTTTCTTCTGTATTCTTTTTATTACCCTTGTATCTTGAACTGTCAGTGATTTTTTAAACTTTAATCATAAAATTCTTGTTTTTTAACTTTTTATTTTTAAATTTTAACTTTCTGGTTTTGAAATCAAACTTTTAGATAGGTGCTTTTAAACATAGTACAGAGAATACCCATATACTGGTTACCCAGATTCCCAAATGTTAACATCCTAACCATAGTGCAACTGCCAGTTCACTTTAATTTTTATATGACCCTATAATTAAATATTTTATAGATTTAGTATCTTTTATGTGGGTAGGTTACTAATTACTAGCATTTTGAAAAATTTTCACCTTTCATGTACTTTTATCCTATAGTTTTCATAACATGCTGATGTAACATGGATTTGGGTTCCCACATAATAAAATGAGGGATAGAATGTTCTGTTGTTCTGTGCATATGTAGAGACAGGAGAGTATGCTATTCTTTTTTCAACAACTTTTTAATTGAAGTATTGTTGATATACAATCTTATATTGGTTTCAAATATACAACACAGTGGTTCAACAGTTAGTCATAGTATTAAATCCTCATCCCCACTAATGTGGTTACTACCCTTAACATAGAAAGATGTTACAGAATCATTGACTATATTCTCCATGCTGTACTACTACTATCCCCATGGCCAACTTATATTATGATTGAGAATTTTTGTGCCCCTTTAACTCCCTCACCATCCCTATTGACCCACGCCAACTACTATCCCATGGTAATCACTAGTTACTTTTTAGTGTCTTTTAGTCTACTGCTGTTTTGCTCATTGTGTTTTACTTTGTTTTTATATTCCACAAATAAGTGAAATCATATGGAATTTGTCTTTATCTGGCTTATTTCACTGAGCATAATGCCCTGTAGCTCCATCCATGTTCTTGCAAATGGCAGGATTTCTTTTTTTATGGCTGAATAATATTCCATTGCATATATGTACCAGTTTTTCTTTACCCAGTCATCTGCTGATGGACACTTAGGTTGTTTCCATATCTTGGCTACTGTAAATAATGTGGCAATAAACATAGGACTGCATATGTCTTTTCAAATTGGGGATTTTGTTTTCTTATGGTAAATTCCTAGAAGTGGAATTACTGTGTCGAATGGTATTTCCATTTTTAGTTTTTTTTAGAGGAAATTCCATATTGCTTTCCATAGTGATTGTACCAATTACATTCCCACCAACAATGTAGGAGGGTTCCCATTTCTCCACATCCTTGACAACACCTGTTATTTCTTGTCTTTTAGATAGTGGCCATTCTAACTGGTATGAGGTGATATCTCATTGTGGTTTTGATATACATTTCCCTGATGATTTGTAATGTGGAGCATCTTTTCATGTGCCTTCTGGCCATTGTTATTTCTTTAAAGAAGTTCTGTTCAGGTCTTCCACCCATTTTTTAATTGGATTATTTGTGGGTTTTTTGGTATTGAGGCATATGAGTACTTTATATATTTTGGATGTTACTCTTTATCAGATAAATCATTTATGAATATAGTCTCCCATATTGTAGGTTGCCTTTCTATTCTGCTGATGGTGTCCTTTGCTGTACAGAAGCATTTTAGTTTGATATAGTGTCACTTGTTCATTTTTTATTTTGTTTCCCTTGTCCACGGAAATGTATCCAGGAAAAAATTTCCCATGCTTATGTTCAAAAGTTTTTTGCACAACAGCAGACTCGCAAACTCCAAGAAGAGACTAGCAGTTACCAAAGAGAAGGAGCTAGGAGGGAGAAGGGGATTAAAGGGTGTTATGATTAACACCATAATGTAGGGGGGCCATGGAGAAGGCAGTATAGCACAGAGAAGACAAGTAGTGACTCTATAGCATCTTACTATGCTGATGCACAGTGACTGCAATGGGATGTAGCAGTGTACTTGATAATATGAGTGAATGTAGTAACCACAATGTTGCTCATGTGAAACCTTTGT